ACATGTACACACACATACAAGCATATGCACACACGTACATGTACACATTAATCTACAAAACAAGTCACTGGGCCTAAGATATAGGGATATAAGGAACTATGAAGTGATATGTATGGAACTTTTACACATCTATATATGTGCACAATTCTACATGAATATAAATAGACCAAATGAACTTACACGCACTAAAGTGAAATGAAAATATATTTCATCCAGAATTCAGCCACATGTCCAGAAAGTCACTGGCTAGATGGCATTTTTCATAGTTGTCATAGGTATGCCTTTATTAATTACAAAACTTAGGAAAAGGGACATTTTATGTCTAATTTGCCTGTGGCTTTTCCTTTTCATTATTTCCTTTTTAGTTCTACGGTTGTTGCTTTGTAAAAGGACCTCACTCCTTATATGGCTCAGGCTGGTCTGAATCTTACTTTGTAGCCAAGGATGAAGTAGAATTTGCTATGTAGTTCTGCCTACCTCAAACCCATGACATTTCTCTTGCCCTGGCATCTTCAAGTGCTTGCATGACTGGTATGAGCCACTATGCCATCTCAAATCTTTCAACTTGACTTTTAAGATCACTTCTTGTTCTAAAGGAGCAGATATTTGTTATCACATATAGGTGACCTTTAAATTGAATATATCTGAAGTTTACATTTTTCTAAATAATATTTTCCCAAAGAATAAAAAGAAAAAAGAACACTTAAAAGGATTCCCCCTTTACAACCTTACCTTCAGCAGGTTGAGGACTTTCTTGCCAAGATCTAGCTCAAAGTTGGCATAATTAGACCCACACATGTCATAGATGAACACCAGTCCATTCCTCTGAGTTTCAAAGCTGTAAACCAATCATTAAACAAAGCATTTAATACAAAGGTTTCATTCAAAGCTAAGCCAGATCCTTACACACCCAAAAGGTTATTCAAATTATTATCATCATCCATATAGTGTGTGTGTGTGTGTGTGTGTGTTCACATGTATGTGCCATAGCAAGTGTGGGAATCAGAAGACAATTTTCAGGAGTCTGCTCTGTCCTTCCCTTCCACCATGAAATCCAGGGATTAAGCTCAGGTTCTCAGGTTAGTATAGCTTGTGCTTTGAGATACTGAGCCATCTTGCCTGTCCTAACACTCATTTTAGTGCTAGGATTACAGGTATGAGCCACCTCAAGGTTCTTATGTTGTGTCCTCATCTTTGTATCCCCTTCTGTTAGCCCCCATACTGTCACACTTCCACAAAATCTAAGAGGGAAGCACTGAAAAAGAGTTAACATTAAAAAATATCAAGTTCTTGTCAATTATGTGTGCATAAAAATACTTCAAAATCCAGTTCAAGTATATAAATTTAAAGTTTTTGTATCTAATATACCTCAGGTTCAGTAACTTTCTGAAAAGAAAAAAAATTAATTCTAAAATGCACGGAGGTTTTTCTGGCAGAATTTATTTCTACTGGCCCGTAATGCATTAATATTAGCCTTAACTCCTTTTTTTTTTTAAACCTCACAGATATTATTGTTCCTCAAGATTAATGATGCTGTCAAAGAGGCACAATTACCAAGTAGATCATCTAGGTCTAGAGAATTTCCATTTTCTAAACAAGCTAAACTAAAATACTACTTTAGACAACTGAGGTGGTGGGATCAGAATCTGAGCCTGGCTTGAGCGGCATAGAGGATTTCAGAACTGACTTGGTGTTGGATGCTCTGGACTGGAGCTGCCAATGGAGAGCCATGTAGGCGCTGAGAATGAAAACCCAGGTTTCTCAAAGAATAGCCAGTACTCTTAACTGCTGAGCCATCTCCCTGGTATTCCAACCCCGCTCCCTCTGAGGCAGGAACTCACCGTATGGCTTCAGATCGCCTGGACCTCACTATGTAGACCAGGCTGGCATCAAACTCACACAGACCCACCCGCCCCTGCCCCCAGAATGCTGGCATTAAAAGAGTACATCAAGTCACTGGGCTATCTATCCATCCATCCATCTACCCATCTACCCATCTACCCATCCATCCATCTGTCTGTCTGTCTGTCTATCTTCTAGCACTGGAGATTAAACAGGGCAATAGACAAGCTTTCTATCACTGAGCCAGATAATTGCAGCTCCCAGATTGGTTTGTTTGGTTTGCTTTAGTTTTTATCAAGACAGATTCTCTGTATGTAGCCTGAAATTTATTATTTCAAACCTCAAATTTGTGGTGATACTCCTGCCTCTGACTCCCGAGTGCTAGGACTGCAGGCACTTACATATGCTATGCAAGTACCTACCCCAGTATACCCCCAGCATACTCCAGAGGGTTTTGAGTTGTTTTTTCTTTATTGTTTTTATTTTATCTATATGAGTGTTTTGCCTACAAGTATCTATGTGTGCAGTGGACATGCCTGATGCCCGTGGAAGCTAGAAGAGGGCCTGATTCTCCTAAGACTGGAGTTACAGATGGTTATGAGCTACCATGTGGGTGCTGGGAAGTCAATCTGGGTCCTCTGAAAGAGCATTTAGTGCTCTTAATTTCTGAGCCATTTCTCCAACTCCCAAAGGGTGTTTGTTTGTTTTGGCTGGGGTTGTTGTTGTTGTTGTTGTTGCTGCTGCTGGTGCTGCTGTTGCTATTGTTGTTTTCAAGACAGAGTTTCTCTGTGGAGCCCTGGCTCACTCAGAGATTCACTGGCCTCTGCCTCTCAGGTGGTGGGATTAGCGGCATGATATACCACCCAACACTCAGAGAGTTTAACATGAACAAACTAACAAACAGATGATCTAAGCCTGGTGACTCAAATCTCTACTGTTTGAGATACTGAGGCAGGAGAATACTAAGTTCATAAGTCAGACTGCATATCAAAGTTAAAGGGGAAGAAAGGAATGATTAGGATGTAAGCTAATGACAGAACATACGCCTCAGCATGCGGAAGCCCTACACACACACTCACACTCACACACACTCACGCGTGCGCACATACACACGCACATGCACATGCACACTCACGCGTGCGCACACACACATGTGCACACACACTCAAGCACACACGTGCATACACACTCACACACACACATATGCACACTCAAACATACACACAGGCGTGCGCACACACACATTCAACAAAGTTCCTTTCCTCCTTAAAATAAACCATTCTCAGTGTACTAACAACTACTGTGAATTGTCACTCTCAGCTTTCGTTAATCCTAAAATAGGCAAGGTGATGCAAACAAAGAAAACGCAGCATCCAGATGATACCAGAAACACACACTTAAACACAGGGGCTGTTTTCTACTCAGACTGTCCAGGCTGTGTCCTAGGGACAACGGTGAGAGCACGTCTGAGTTTAACCAATTCACAAGCTTTCATTTTAAATGAGGTAGACACCCACAAAATAGTCTTACTGTTACCTGTCCACAGCTCTGTCTAGCAGGTAAAACAAGGCTTGGAGGACCACGTGCTGGACAGACTTGTGGGGATGATGCAACCTGGCAGTGAAAAGGGCAATGGAGGCTCCAGTTGGGTCTCGCACATTCTAAAGCAAATAAACAGGAAATATTTAGAAATGAAAAAAAAGTCACAGGAATCTTTTAGACTTATTATCCTGCACAGAGAGCTGACACACGAGAGACGAGCTACTAACAGAACTTCCTCGACTTGTGTCTATTCTTCCATAAAGGGAGCAGTGTTATCACCACTCCAGGCCTGACTTGTTCAGCAGTCCCTTGAACTTAAAAAAAACTCACTTTTCTGCAGAGGAATCAAAGGATGATTCTGCAATGGCTTTGTAACTAATTTCTCAGGCAGGATGGAGAGGAACAGATGAAGACAACGGCTTCTATGCTACCTTAAACACAGTACCACATATGTGTCTGAGAGGCCAAGAGATTACTAATCAGTGGAGAGTTCCCATTAAGTAAGGACGCGCTTTGACACGTCACTCCCCAACATGCTGACCAACAACTTTTTTAACGGATCAATGTTGAGGGAAAAACTTTGACTGCTCAATAATTAACTATCATTAATAATTAATACTTTTAATTAGTAATAACTCTATTATTGTTGTTGTTGTTATTATTAGAACAATTTAGTAGCAAAAATGTGTTGATAAGGAAGCGAGACACAAAAATCCAAATAAGGCAAGAGCTACAAAAGATGGAACAAAGCACAGGACGGGCTCTACAGACTCACCAAGATGGTAAACTTCCCGCTGAGGATCTCAGAACGGAGCGGCTCCTCATGAGGTTTCAGCTTCACAATGCCTTCCTTCCTTCTTGTTTCCTAAAAAGGAAACAATGAAGAGGTGAATTAATGTGAAAATATAACATCTCCAGAACAACTTTATGTAGCCGTCAAATCTCAGGGATGGAACGTTAGAAATCAACTACCTGAACTGTAAATTCCTTTGTACCATGCCTTAGCATTCCAGGGCAGCTAACTGTTACCGTAATTCCTGTCCACAGCCACCTTCTCAGGACCATCTGTTCTGATGCCTCCAAGAGTCAGCTTGAGTTTGCCATGCAGAAATACCTATTTCTTTATTTTTTTTTTAAAAAATTATTTATTTATTTTATGTATGTGAGTATTCTATAGCTGTCTTCAGACACACCAGAAGAGGACATCAGATCCCATTACAGATGGTCATGAGCCACCATGTGGTTGCTGGGAATTGAACTCAGGACCCTCTGGAAGAACAGTCAGTGCTCTTAACCGCTGAGCCATCTCTCCAGCCCCAGAAATACCTATTTCTGGTGCAGATTTCTTTTCTGTACCCCACAGTCAGGTTCTGGTTGCTTACAGGAACTGTCTATTTGGATATCCCAAAGACTTGGACAAACTAAACCCACGACCTTCTTTCTCTATGAACCCACCGACTTCAATGTCCCCACACTGATTAATGTCACCAGCACTGATCTCAACACACAAGTCCCAACCCAGAGGCCTCACTCACTCTCCTCACACACCAGTTTAAGCAGCTCCTACCCGTTTGAACTCTGAATTTGTCTACTTTTCTCCATCTCCCCTGAATTATGTGTTGAATAATACTGCCCTTATCTCTTCTTGTACGTACAACAGTCTCCAAACTGCTCTTTCTGGCTCCAAGATAATCAGTGAGATGCACCCTCCAAAAACATACTGTCAAAATCTTTCTGGAATGCAAATATGGAAAATTTATTACATTGCTTATATCATTAATGGATTTCTGAGGCCTTAGTGATCTGGCCTTATTTATCTGTGCTCTCCATCTCTGACCACGCCTTGACTCCCACTCAACATCTGGCTTAGCTAAACTGTACTTTCTAGCACTGAGGATCTAAATGTCTTTTCTTATGTCTTTTGGTTGTAGACTTAGCCTTTAATAGCTGAGCCATCTCTCCAGGCCTATAGTATTGCCTTCCTTAACAACACTTTACCAGGGCTTGATCCCGACTCATCCTTCAAGTTTAAGGTTAGTACTCTTTTTTTTTTTTTTTTTATTGATTACTCTCTCTTCTAAGTAACAATCGTGGCACTGTTAATATAGTAGGTGTGCAATTAATATCTATGGAATAAATAAATGAGTGTGGGACGGGCTGAGCCGTATGATAAGTGTAAGCTAATTCCAGTGCTCGTTTTCCCAGGATTTCTTTTTTTTTTTTTTTTAAAGTAGAGATGATATCTCTTCAGAAGAAATTTTTAACCACAAAGTAACATAACATACAGCATTTCTATTGAAGATGCTGCAATCCAAGAAAGCAAACATAACACAGAATCAGCCTTGAACTCCCCTCTTTTAAAAAATCTTAGCCAGCTGTGGTGGAGCATGCCTTTAATCCCAGCACTCATGAAGCAGAGGCAGATGGATCTCTATAAATTCGAGGCTAGCCTGGTCTACAGAGCAAGTTTCAGGACAGACAAGGCTACACAGAGAAACCCTGTCTCAAATAAACAAAACAAAACAAAACAAACAAACAAAAATATTATAGCTGGGCAGTGATGGCTCACACTTTTAATCCTAGCACTCACAAGGCAGAGGCTGGCTACACTGAGAAACCTTGTCTCAACAAAACAAAAAAAAAAACCACCAAAAAAGACACTGCTAAGAACCAGACCTAGCTGATAAAGCCGCTTTTCTTTTCCAGAGCTAACACCTCCCTTTTCTTGAATAACTCTTTAGCTCAAAGTTCATCAGAATGGCAGCTTTCTAAAAGTTCATGAGGCCTTAAACTACAGCTGTAAAAAATAAAAATGCCAAACAGGTTATCCAAGAGGCAGGGAAGAGAGTGAGGAAGAAAACTCCAGGAAGGAGTGTGTCACAGGATGACATTAAGGAACTTTCTTTGCCTCAGTCCTCACAAGTAGTAGCATGCTGGTCTACAAGCAAACTTCGGGTACATTAAGTAAGTACTTCCAGGAATTGGCCAGCCCAACCTCAGTTCTCATAGGGTTTGTGGACATCGAGCCATTTTTAACAGAATAAGAGACAAGTAGAAAAATCGACACGTGCAAAGTAAAGCAGAAAATTAGCAATACTTAGCTCGCCCGCTGCAAACGTGTCTGCCCTGAGCCACTTACTCTGTAGCAGTGGAACAACTCCACGGCACGAAGCACGTCAAACTTTCTGGCCATGAGGAACTTGACGGCCACGTTCCACGAGAGCGGAGAAACATTACACTGTACTGTCCACTTGTTGATCTCTTCCAGAAACTGCTTGGTAGCCTGTTTAAATAACAAAATGAGGACAATTAGTAAGAAGAGAATACATTTTAGAAACAAAAGAAACAAGCAGGCAAAAATTTTTATTTGTTCCCCAAATAAGACTCATTTACATAGCAAGTTTTAGGCCAGTCTGGGCTATATAAGAGTCTATCTTAAAAAAAAAAAAAAAAGAGGGAGGCAGAGGAGGGGAGGCTAGAAAGATGGCTCAACAGGAAAAGGCACCATTCACCAGTTCAATTGCCAGGTCCCATATGATGGAAGGAAAGAACAGACCCCTGCAAATTGTCCTCTGACCCCCACGTGCCATGAATGTACATGTATGCACACAGACAAACAAATGCATAAATAAAAGTAATTTTAAATTTTAATTTAAAAAATTTTAAAAGGGTTGTCTCAGTTAGGGTTTTACTGCTGTGAACAGATACCAAAACCAAGGCAACTCTTACTAGGACAACATTTAATTGGGGCTGGTTTACAGGTTCAGAGGTTCAGTCCATTGTCATCAAGGTGGGAGCACAGCAGCATCCAGGCAGAGATGGTGCAGGAGGAGCTGAGGTTCTGCATCTTCATCTGAAGGATGCTAGAAGACTGGCCTCCAGGCAGCTAGGATGGGAGTATTAAAGCCCACACCCACAGTGACACACCCACTCCAACAAGGCCACACCTCCTAAAAGTGCCACTCCCTGAACCAAGCATATACAAACCATCACAAGGGTTACATTTATATAATTTTAGTCTTTACTGTTTAGGATAAAAAGTACAGCCAGTTCAGAGACAGGACAAAGCACTGGGATGCTTGAAGGAATAATGAGAAAACCCTCCTAGGAGGTGGGATGAGAGTACTCTGCCAGTTCCCCTGACTTCAGCTAAGATATCTATTTTTTTCATTTTATAATTATTTAAATTGAGATGTTATGCATGTATATTCTGAGTACCTAAAACATTTCTGATTGCGATTCTGTTCTAACTATTTAGAAACTTTTCTTGATTATTAATCCAGAAAATGATGAAATTTCTGAATTTTAACTATACTCATATTATCAGTCAATCAACTCACAGTTATGATGTATCTACTCAGTTGGGCGTAGTGGCACTCAGGAGGCAAAGGGAGTGAGTCTGAGGCCAGCATGGTCTATAGAGTGAGTCCCAGGACAGCCATGGCTACACAATGAGAATCTGTCTTGAAAAAATAAAACAACAAAGAGATGGATTTACTCATGGTAAGCCATACTTTTTTCTTAACCTATGTCAAGGAAAAATATAAAACTGAAGCTGCTTCAGAGGTGTAAGGCCCAACCTACTATGTGACTGTAGACTGGGGAAATCTCTCTTCACTAAGTTTTCAGTTGAAAACTAGGGGCCCAGGTATTGTGGTGCACACCAGTCCCATAGCGTTTGAGGCCATTCTGTTCTACATATCAAGTATGATAGACAGGATAACGTACTAGAGACCCAGCCTCAAGGGGAAGAAAGAAAGAAAAGTAACTCTTATACATGCCTGTAATTTCATCATTCAAGAAGCAAAGAATGGCAGAAGACTTAACTGGCCTCAAGTTCTAGGCCACCCTGGTCTACACAGCCAGGCTAAGGCTACATAGAGAAATCCCATTTCAAAGAGGGTGAAGGAAAGAGGAAAGGAAGAAAAGAAGAAAAGGAGACTTGAGTGTAGTGTTACATATCTGTTATCCCAGCATTTGGGGAAGGAAGGCAGGAGGATCAGGAGTTTGAAGCTCTCCAAGGCTCTATAGTCAAGTCAAGCCTGAGTCATATGAGACACTGTCAAACAAAACGAAAACAAGGGGGAAAGGCTAAGGGCTATGACCTACTTTTAGAGACTTGGCAACAATTCTCCCTCGCAAATCCAATTCAAATTGCCACATACTGTTTCAACAACTATCAAACTAGAATCCCAAGAGGGTCATCAGACCTTACGACACAGCACCTGACTCACGGTCCATTTTCTAGGAAAGCACAAAGGATGTTTATAAACCAGGAGAAAGTCCAAGGCCTTGGAGCGCAGCTGAGTTTTTGAGCCTTGTAAGTGAGGAAATATAACTTATATCACTTCAGAAAGAGAAGCCAAAAAACTAACCAAGCACAGGGCCCAAAAAGAGTCAAGAAGCAGACCATGATGAAAAGCTTTCCAAGATCACACTGTCTCACAACCATCTGAAGCCAGACCACAGAACTGAGTCTCAGAGAAGACAACAGAACAAACTTAGAATGCTCCCAAGTACATTTGTGTTCTATCTGTAGAGTGGCCAGCATCAGAATGAGGAAAGAAAGAAAAGAATAAAAGCAGGCACAGATGCTGAAACAAAGCCCCAGTCAGTCAGGAAGGTCCCCAAGAACTTCTCAAATGGGGTATGCTTTTTGGTGAACACATTACCTTTGACTCTTTTCTTGAAAGGGTCTCACTGTGTAGCTCTGGCAGCTGGGAACTCACTATGTAGACCAGGCTGGTATGGAACTCAGAGATCTTCCTTTCTGCATCCCAAATGCTGGGATTAAAGGCATGTGCAGGCACATCCAGGTTAACGCATAACCTTTTAAATCTAGTCTTGTAATGGACTTCTAATATTGTTCGCAAATAGAACACTAGAGTAAAAAAGCCTTTCTCACTGTTTAGCTGTAAGAACAAGCATCAAACATTGTACAGATAAAAAGAGGAAATCTGAATGATCAGAAGCAGATATGATCAACACATACCCAACGGTAAAATGACCCTTCATTGTGATAGACCATGCTGTAGAAGCCTATTAGGTGAAACTTACTACAGAGATGACAACCAAATGTCTATTTATCCCAGATAAGTAACCAACTACAGGTGAAAGTGACAGCTACACAAAGTTCAATTTGGTAAGCAAATTAGTTTATTGGGATTAGTCACAAGAGCAGAGACAATTAATTCAAAGGCAGCTGTATCACCCTTAACCTGAGTGACAACACTGAAAAGCTGCATCCCTAGAGCTTTGTATACAACTTTCATGCAGCATAACAGGTTAGAAAGCCTAAACCAGGCAGCACTGCCTCCTGTCTTACCTCTAGCAACTGATCCTACTTCTATAAGAGGGAAAAGGAGGAAAAGTTTTCTGTGTATCTTGTTAGTTTCAGGAACTTTTTGAGACTTGTTAGTTGTTTACTTCCCTAGTCTCATGAATCTCTTCTCATTCCTGGAAAGAATGTTTCAACTTAGAACTTAAAACTTCTTGAGCCTTAAGAAATCTCCTCTAGAACAGTGGTTCCCAACCTTCCTAATGCAGCTCCTTCTTTTAAAACAGTTCCTCATGTTGTGGTGACCCTCCCCAACCATAAAATTATTTCAATGCTACTTCAATAATTGTAATTTTGCTACTGTTATGAATTATAATGTAAATATATGATATTCACAATATCTGATATGCAACCCAAAGGGGTTATAAACTATGGGTTGAGAATTGCCACTCTATAATGAAATATTTGATCTCCCAGGCAACTGCTACAAAACAAAGCCAGATGTAATATCTCCCATCTATAATGCCAGTGTTCAAGAAACAGAGAAAGATATATCTTCATAAGTTCCAGGCAAGCCTGGTCTACATAGCAAGTAACAGGATAGCCAGAGAAGTAGTTTCACACAACTTTAACACACTTCCTTCAAAGTACATCTTGTCCTTTTTCTTTTCTTCTTTTTTAGAGACATAGTCTCCCTAGGACAGCCTGGCTGGCTTGGAACTCTCTGTAGACTTGGCTGGCACTGAGTTCATAAAGATCTACCTCCCTCTGCCCGAGTGGTGGGATTAAAGGCATGAGCCACTATACCCAGGGTGCAAATTATTTTTAAGTCACTGCATGGACAATCTTTCATGTTTTTAATCTGTACTGTTTTTATACGTACTGGAAAATGAATGATATATTTATGGGGAATAGTATGATGCTTTTATATTTATACACACACGTACTCATATAGTGTAGAGTGATTAGATCAAGCAAATTCCCTATTAACTGAAATAATTATTTTTTTCAGATATAAACACTTAAAATGTGCTCTTAGCAATTTTAAAGTATATACCATCTTGTTATTAACTATAATGACAACCGTATGCAGGAGACCTAACTGTAACCTCACACCATCTCTCCCTTCTCCTCGTCCTCCACTTCTGGTGGCCACCATACTACTCTCTGCTTATATGACTGCGGATTTTTGAAATTCCACAAATACATGAGAAAGTGCAGTATTGGTTCTTCTCTAATCGCATCTCAGCCTTTTGGTTGAGATCAAGAGTTCTTTTCCATATTTTGTCTTCTTTCAACAAACTTAGTTCCTCCAAAGTTCTTACTGTCCCGCAGCTCCCTCCCAATAGCTGTTGCCTTAAGCTGACCTCTGTCCCCCTGCTGGTCAGGATGTTGTTCTTGGCTTTAAGCACTGGAACAATTCCTCCTGATTTGGTTGTACAAGGCCCTGCATGAAGAGAGACCAATGTACTGTAAACGGTGATGTGATATTTACAGATACAAACACAGACACACCACCTGTTCTATTTGGCCTCAGCCTCCTGCATCTCCATCCCTCTGATGAAATAGATAAACCCCTGAAAGAAGTCAAATAGGTGGTCTCACATTCACAGTCTTTCTAGACAGATTTATATATTTTCTTACACATGGATTTTACACAACTAGTGAGTTATGCACATATACATACACCACACACACACATACATACACACGCACACAAACACATATACACATACATATATACATACATATATATACACACACACACAATCACTGGTTGCCCTATTGATTACAAGAAAGATATATCCTAGTAATTCTAACAAGCAACACATTCTTCAGGATGGATAATTGAAATTCTTCAAATTAATGTCTAATGTATTTCCTGGTGAAAAAAAGGAATGGGCCAAAAGATGAGTCTCGGCTTAGAAACTATTTCAGCTGAAGGTCAACGTAGGAAGAATATATCTTGGCTTCTAAGTAGTTGCAAGGGGTCACAGTTCAAACAG